ATCCATAGCCACAATCCGACCGCATTGGCCAACCCCTCTGACAATCCTAGTCCGGGTCGGGAGGCATCTTCAAGTCAAACTCTGCCCAAAAGTACTTGTCACGAGACAGGGGGGTGTCCGACCGCCTCGTCAAAGACGCCCGCATTTAATACGTGGCCAAGCGTGATGATGACTTTTCGGGAGTCGACACACCACCCAATCGCTATCGTATTAAATGCGGGTCAGATATAATAATGACTCCTCAGATGGTGCCCGCTCCCCGTCATTCTGTCACCATCACATTAAATGTGATATGGACGACTCTCCCGAATTTGCGCAACTAGTTGTTGACAGGTGTAAAGCATAAACAAAACACCATTTCCGCCGGCTAAGTCAGATTACCAATCTGCCCTTGATATCTCTCATGAACATGAGAGATCCTCACCATTCTCAGGTATGAAGACTCTAGACCTCCCTAAACTTAGTCTTGAACTTTTCTTCATATCAATTCTATCAATCATTGACTTGAGCGTTGGAGGGCACGCCGGAGGAAGCCTCCTCCTGGGCTTCTAACATCTGTTGCCTGTGCAGGGATCTGCCTTTCCCAACCCGATCAGACATCAAAGGAGATCAACAAACCCTAATCTCTCATCAATCCCCACTCAATCCACAGATTTAACTTTCCAACATAAACAATATCCTACACATCTTCATAATATATCTGGTGTGTTTTACTCCACAGTAGCCATTTTACTCCACAGTAGCCAGTAAAATATGAAAAACATAAGCTATATGTGAAACAATTATCCGTCCAATCCATTATGATGCTTTACCAAACAAAAAAATGCTGCTACATCCACAATATTAGGAAAGTAGAATTAATTAACCGCTGTATACTACGCATTTGCTTCCAAGAAAACAAAAAAGTCCATTTGTTTCAAAGAAAAATATAGGACAGTAGAATTGATGCCCCAATAAGGTGAAGTTTTATGCATCTCCATTTTGTGCCCATAAGCAACAAATAAATGTTACTTTTTATGTTTTCTAGAATATGCGAAGCGACATCTTTCCTTATTTAGGTTTTCATGTTATTCGGTAATCTAACAAATCATATTTCATGTTTGATAAACCGATATATACTACACAGATCCTTCAAAATTTGTGATACTGTGATAGAGTAGTGTATTATAGACATGAATGCTAAGTTCTTTTATGTAATAAAGAACCATGTAATTACTGGTTCCGTAGTTTAATTTGATCTTCTGCCAACATGAAAATGGACATGGTTGTGAGGCCTATGACAACAACTTCAGACGGATAATTGACACTGAAGTCGAAGGGCGACATTATCTTTCTAGGATCATTTGGAATAAGATGAGCGTTTCCAGTCTCACGGATAATCTGGATCTTCTGTCCCATACATGATACATTTTTGGTTAAAGGACAAGGCATGTTGAATAGTAGCTCAAACAACATAACAAAATCAAGTTTCCAAAGAAACTAATCAAGTCAAGGAAGGAACTTACTCCACCCTGTCAAACTTCAGCCCCAGTTGCTTTTCACCATCCTTTCCTGAAACAAGCATCTTTGATCATATAACATAACACAATGTAAATCATGATCATCGACAAGCACCGGAGGAGAATGCCACGTTCATGGGTGGGGGGATGCCTTGCTCCCCACCCCAACCCAAATTTTTTAAAAAAAAAATTAAAAAACAAATAATAAATAAAGAATAAGATAAATAAATAAAAATCGTGCCTATTGGTCTCCTTAATCCTTATTATTTTGAAATTAGTTCCCCACCCACTGAAATTGCTATTAGGTACCCCCATCTTCTTAAGCTATTTAAAAATTAGGACAAATTTTTAAAAGAGACCCATTTAGACTTTTATTCCCAAAAAACGACCTCATTCAAACAAAATTACAAAAACCGATCTGGTTTCAGCCTCAGCGCTAAAACCAGGTCGGTTTTTGAAAGAAAAAAAAATCCGAAACTTCACGGGAGTTGAACTCCTGTGAAGTTTTTGGAATTTTTTTTTAAAAAACCGACCTGGTTTTAACGTTGAGGCTGAATCCAGGTCGGTTTTAGTAATTTTGTTTGAATGAGGTCCTTTTTTGGGATTAAGTTCACAAATGGGTCTCTTTTGTCCTTAAAAATTAACCCTCAAAATCATTGAGACTGGAATTAGGTCCCCAAGCTCTCATGGACCTAATATCATTTCGATGATTTTCTATGATTAGGGACCAATTTCGAAACCAAAGGTTTAAGGGGTCTGATATCGAAAGAAACCGTCCTACGTATCTTGGGTTTTTTTGGCACCGCCCCAAGATAGAATCCCGCCACCGTCAGCGAGATCAGAAACTTGGCTAGGGTAAAAAACCAGAGCCACAATAAAAAAAAAAATCTGAAGAGAAGAATTAGTAAATTGGGTAAAAAAAGAAAGTAGGGTTAGTTAGAATAAAATTGTTATTACCAGGGAGAGGGGAGTAGTGGCCAACAATTTCAAGGTGCTTGCCATCTCTCCGGGTCCTGCTCTCGGCCGCCACCAATCGATAGCAGGGCCTGTGCTTGCACCCGTACCTCGCCAGCCTAATCTTTACCGCCATTTTCTCACTCCTCCTCTTTCTTCTTTGGTTCTTGATGAGGGGAAGGGGCTGACCTGATCGATTTGCCTCCTAGCTCGCTGTCCTCTCTGCGAGTGCGCCCTCTGAACCCCGTTAAAACCCCAGTTGGACCGGTTCGGGTCGGGCCGAAAAACGACCCGGTTTATTCGAGATCGGACCCGAATCAAACAGTTTGGGTGTTTATTTTTTTGGACAATTTTTAAAACCGACCCATTTAGGCTTTTATTTCCAAAAAACTCCCCATTCAAAAAAAAATTGCAAAAACAGACCTGATTTCAGCCTCAGCGCTGAAATCAGTTAGGTTTTTGAAATTTTTTTCCGAAACTTTCACGGGCCCGTGAAGTCTAGTAGATCTGCTAAACTTCACGGGAGTTCAACTCCCGTAAAATTTTATAGTTCAAAAAAAAAAAATTGTCCAATGCAAGTATGTTTCTTTTTTTGTTTTGAGTACAGTCAGTCCATGTCTCATGTTTGTATGAGGGTGTCAAGAGCTTAAATGTGCTGATTTGGAGCGTGGCGGCATTTTTCTGACTGACAATAACAGATTACTGTTTGATATCCACATTTACATCATTTGGTAAGTGATGATTTACGCGGAGAATGCACGTACTAAAATCTGGTTCATTAATAAGATGAAAGTTCAAGGCATATCGTCCTACTACATTATTGATTGTATCGGATTACTAATTGTAACAGTCAGCTTGCAAGAAGCTGCTCTTCAGAATATGGAACATCTCAAAGTAGGGGCAGAAGCTCAAAATACTGAGAGCTGACCAGCTTTTTAACTTCATAAATCACATCAAAACTGAGATTTTCAAGACCAAACTCCATAATGAAACACATCTCAACACACTTAAAATGTACCCTCAGCAGCATATGATGTTAATGGGTCTTAAAGACGATCGTTCCTCCTTGAACGATTCAGCTCTCAGCAGCATCTTCACCCTGTTCCTCATCTTTCTCATTCGGTTGCTCATCAGCTTCATCGCTCTCTGGCTTCAAGCAACGGCCAGTCATAGGATCAATGGTTCGGGTATCACGGGGCCCACCTTTGTGGGCCATAGCAAGCATGGGAGGGGGAGGCAGGAGGCCAGCCCTGAAGAGGATGCGTTGGGCCGGATCTGATGGTTGTGCACCAACGGATAGCCAATACCTGCATACCCATTCATTTTAACAATGTGTTTTGTTAGAAGGATACAATTGAACCTCACTATCAATCCAATCGCTAAAAAGAGCAATTAAACTACTCTCTGCCGTAACATATTTCAATGAATAATTCTATACTGTACACTATATTTCATCACTCTAAACAGGTCATATAAAAGATCTCTGCTGTTGTCATTTCAAACATGTAAGGTTAAAGCAAGCACTATAAAAATAGGAAGCGCATTACACCATCATAGCATTGATCCGTCGCAGTCATAAGCAAGAAAAATATAAAAAGACCAACTAGTATTACTAAAATACGTTCACACAGAAAATGCACGAATCCAAATGAGAGAGAAGATTTTGGACAAAAGGCCCCATCTTTTTCTTTTTCGTCTCCAATTTACACGAGTAATCCTAGGTTACCCCCACACCTCGTTTGGGCTCCCTTATCCATGTCTGACTCTGACGCTCCTTGGATAAGCATACATAGATTCAGACATATACTCAATTACATAATACATGTTGCGGTTAAAAATCATCATACTCATTCATGGACATATATCTTACACGTCACGTCAACTTCCTGCAACTTGCTTGACATGGGTCGGCTCATTTCAGCCATAGCCAGCCAAGTCCAGAAGTATGATTATAAAGGATTGCTTAGGTCTCTAGTTAAAATGCAACTGATGAATATATAATCTACTCAACAAATACAAGAAGTATGATTTTAAAGGATTGCTTAGGTTTCCCAATATATATAATCTACTCAATAAATACCAGTGCAACATAGCCTAGGATTCATGAGTTATGAACTTCTGCAACATGCAACTGATGAATATAAACCTTACTGTTTTTGATTAGGAAGTGATGAGAAGAAAGAAAGGATACCGAAAGCCATCAGAGCTAGATGTCTTTCTCTGCTTTGTTGTCAACTGTGCAATATCATCTTCTCCATCATATTCTCTCTCACATCTTCCCAAGTTCCATAAGATGTATGTTTTCAACGTAAAAAGCAAATTTGTTAACCAACAATTATTCTTACAAATGAATGCACAATCATATATACCGAATAATTAGGTAGGTACAAGATAACATTAATGATCAATGATTTTAAAGAAACAACCTTCACTTGTACATCATCCCACAACAAACATTTCCTGCAATGGTACATCCAACTCTTGCCTATTACGGTATTACCTGAAGTGAGGCATCTACTAATTTCAAACAAATGGGACAAGCACTTAAATCGCAGAGGTCTCTGTTAATGTTAATCAAAGCATTAAGTTTTTGTCTTTTTGAGATGCTATATCTTTTCCATTGTTTAAAATATCGGTTCTAGGGGAAAATGCCTAAAAACTAAGCCTTCCAGAAAACAAAATTTCACTTGGGTGAAAAAGGAAAATACAGGAATTTCATGTTGACTATCCACATAGGTTAAATGTTATATTTTTCAGTTCTACCAGAAAGCAACAAAATATAGAGTTCAGAGAAAATTACATATATTCACCTCCAAGTTCAACTCCATACTAAAACCAGATAAGAAGCCTACATAATCTATCCCCAATCGTCAACAGCACAATATCCCCTAGCCACGATGCAAAATATTACCATCTTTTGTAGTATCTTTAGGTTGAGTTCTAGATTCAGATTTTATATAAGCATTTAACAATTAAATTTAGGAATAGACTTCAAAGTTTAGGGTACCAGGAGGCAGAAGATGTGACATTCAAGCAATCATGATATTATTTAATGACCATAAATTGAAAGCAATTATGAGATTCAGAACTTGAAACACGTGTTCTAGTTGCTCAAATTCAACAAAGAAATATACTTCTTGATGCAATATCCAAGCACTCTACAAATTTAAATAATAATCAATTGCCGCATTAACCATAACAGTCAGCAGTGTTTAAATTTTTTGCAAAAAAGGAAGCCTTTAAGTAACCACTCATAGACGGGAAGTTGAGCTTATCCTTGGGAGGAAAAGATATAAGCTTCCACAGACAGAGAACATGAATCATACTTTTCTGGGGCTAGATGTTTCTTGACATATAATTAGAGGACAGATAATAGAATTTCAGTATAAAGGAAATATTAGAAAGCACTACCAGCTACTCTCTATCTTAACAATTCTTTAGAGAAGCACCAACAACAGATCTTCTTCATAATAAGCACCGTCATAAACATTTACAATCATCGATATACTACAGATAACTTGTCTAACATAACCCCTAGTATAGTATATACAACAAATCATGCCTATGCGTAAGAGACCAGATGAGCCAAGTGGAGACTATTGAATCGACTATGTATCAGTTGTATTACCACAATCTGAAGACAATTGCACATTTTAGTTGCCTTAAGGTTTGCATACATAACTAGGGTGTATAAGATTTGTAACACTCAAGGAGGACACATCTCTAGGGGAAAATCGAGTTTAATCAAATCTGTTTCTCGAATATGAAATGTTAATTATTTTTCTGGTGCATTTTATATCCCTTGTTTACTCAGAAGTATGATTAGAAGAGATTGAGATACAGCCATCGATCCCATCACAGACTTTCTTCCATTTTAAGTCTGCTGGCAGGTTATGAAGCACAAACATATACAAAGAAGGCTCCATATATGACTTCACTACCTTTAATTGTCAACATGACATGCTGCGTTTTGATGCCAAATTTCCGGCATAAAAACAAAGCAACGAGACCACTCAATGAAAAATAACTGTAGAAGATAACTGGTGTATACAATCTAATTTCTAGATGTAGATTCCTCAACCAAATAAACTATGCTGGAGAACCTTTAACTGATTAATGTCCAAAAAACCCTCAATAGGCCACGCTTTTAACAATTCTATGATGAAAACATCAATTCCACACATGACTTCCTGATATGCCAAATGTAATTACTGGAATTACGCATGAGGGGTCTCCTAAAGAATTGTGGCTTTGCTTCGACTTTCTGTTTCAGTCATAAACATGACATTTGCAGCAAAAGGAGGGGAAAAACCAGTAGTTTTTCTGTGTGAGTTCCTGGGTAGTGTACGGGGTGACACGATTCTAGATATTTTTGGATAAACACTTAAAAAATGTGTTCCAAAGTAAGGGTGTGGTGCTCCTCATACCGTAGAGATTGTTGAGTAGGCGGTTCTTATTAGAAGTGATCTGCGTGGATGGATGTTAATGTACAAAAGTATCGATACAGGAAAATCACTGGTTGGCTGTGGTTCTCCCACTGAGATTCAGATCCGATCCTTAATTTTCCCGACAAAAATATTACTAAACCCAGGCATCTACAGTCTTCACCTGTTCTCAATTAAATCTAGTTTCAGGTACGTCATGGCACCAACTCTTCCCAAGGGGAGGGAGTTTAGCTTCCTTCACTTATCACTTTTTATTTCACTTTAGTATCCAACTTATCCGACACAAATGGAAAATAAACAGAGCCCTTAACCGATGAGAAGACCAGATACACCAAGTTTAATGCTCTAGTCTTTAGGAGTAAACTAGATCGACATTCCACCAACTCTTTTTCCCCCATGTTTTAGCAAAATTTATAAAGAGCATTGACAAGAGTAAAGAGTTTGCAGGTCCAGTAATTTCAAAGGGGACACGTCATATTATTCAAATTCTAGCTCTAATAAAGCTTTTTCATACAGCGGTTATTTAAACAAATAAAAAAACTGAAATGTTGAAGCAAATAGTCAAAAAAATGAAGGAGAAAAGGGAGATCACTCACTTCACCCTATCAAAATTCAGCCCCATTCGCTTTCCACCATCCTGACCTGAAACAGGAATCAAATAAACAGCAAGATCAAATTTTTAGAACAAACACCCAAAAAATAAAAATAAAAAAAACCCTAGGATCCATCCAAATAAAATGATAAAAGAGTACCAGGGAGGGGATTGTAGTAGCCGAGGACTTCGAGATGCTTGCCGTCCCTCGGAGATCTGCTGTCGGCCGCCATGACCCTGTAGAAGGGCTTGTTCTTGCACCCGAATCTCGACAGCCTAATCCGTACCACCATCTTCCTTCTTCTCCTCTCGATTTTTTGCTTTTTCCTTTTTTGCACGAAGCTAGGTCTCTAATTTCATCGTTTTTCGGAGCATCAGAAAAAAAAATAATAAAAATGAAGGCAATCAGAGTTTCAATTTGTACATAATATTACATGATTTAAATTAAAAAAAAAGAAGAAGGTTGAGATCGTTGCGCACCTCTTCTACCTCTCTCAACCCCCCTCTCCCTCTCTCTGCGGGTGCGAGCAGGGGTGGCAAACGGGTCGACCTGACCCGACCCGACCCGTATAAAATTTGACCGGAGCCGTATAAGTGTGACCCGACCCGACTGACCCGTTTAATAAATGGGTCAATGCAATCCGACCCGTTTATTAAACGGGTTACCCGACCCAACCCATATTAACCCAAATGGTAGAGAATACTAAACATTTAAGTGAAATTCTTTCAAACAATGGCATTCTCCTTTGCTTCTTGAATATTAAACGGGTTACTCTTTTAAGTGATTTTCTCCACCAAATACTGAAACTGAAACTGAAAGAGTAAGACAAACAGAGAATACAAACAATGGCATTTCCTTTCTCCTTTGCTTCTTGAATATTAAATTGATAATGAAATCCAGAAAAAGTAGATGTTGACACAGAATAAAACACCAAATTTTCCAGGTCTGAAAACTAAATATGCATATTCAGGACAGCACCAACTTTTCTCCAGTTGGTTAATGCAAGGACTTGGGCTTAAATTCTGCACACAACTCAATTAAAATTGCTAAAATAAGACTAGCTCCAGCAACCCTTTAAGTAAACAATAATTATCTGTATAAAAGAGATTAAAATGTCATTCTACATACATACGCATAAAAAAAAGACAATCTAGGAGTCTATTTGCAACAATGGAAGTACAGGCAATTTGGCAGTAGTACAGAGGGTCTATCTGCCAACTACCCTTTACCAGCTTAAATCATATATCTTCCACCAACTACCCTTTACCAGCTTCAACATGAAGAAATAGTACTTTAAGACAAGAGAACCAGGTCAAAGTCTTCACACATATATACTTATCTAATGAATAAATATAGTTTTCCCTCAACTCAGCCATTAATCATGTCAAATTGTCTTAACTAACTGAAAAATTAGTGCCGTGTGCTTGTTTCGTAGGCTGTTTCTGAAAATTAAAAATACGAAAAGAACAATATATGGTACGAAAAGAATCACTAGATCATAGACTCCCCAAAATTCAACAGATCACAAATTGGGCAATAAATGAGCATGAATGAAACCTTAGAAAGAGGAATAGATTATCTATGATCAAATTAATTTATATGAAAGCCAATGATCAACTCTGGAAACGTAACATTTGAGCTTGAATCAAATTAATTTAAAGAAACTTGAGCAAAATGAAAGAAACCTAATTTTGATGAAGCTTAGAGAGATGAGAACTTACAGAGAGGATCGAGCTCGCCGTTTGTCGCCGCTCGTCGCTCGCCGTCACTCGTCGTCACTTTTGATGAAACGACGCCGCTCGCCGTCACCTCTCGCCTATCGCCGCCGCTCGCTCCTCGCTGCCGCTCGCCGCTCGCCGCCGCACGCAGATGGAAAATCTAGGGTTTGGTTTATGAGAGACGAAGAGAGGACGAGTTGCTAGACGAAGGAATGTGATGGTCTGATATTTTCGGTCGCGGTGTTATGCGCTTATACGGGTGAGCTCTTTGTGTTACACGGGTCAGGCGGGTCAACCCTAACTTACCCATCTAATAAACGGGTCAGTTCGGGTTGATCCGTTTATCACCCGACCCATATAACTTGACTCATATCTAATATAAACGGATCGGGTCGGGTCGGGTCGGGTTGATGGGTCAGGTCAAAAACTATCACCCCTAGGTGCGAGACGACCTCTAAGCCCTCGTTCGTGAGTCCGAAATGAACAAGGATGGGTCGGGTCAATCCAACCCGACCCGTTCTAGCAATTCTAGGTATCGGGTACTATCCTTTTCCACCCTTTTTATACGAACCTACCTACCTGCATGTATTAATCTATTCCTCTATACAAATGAGAGAATTTAAGATTCACTATTTATGTTACAGTAATGCTACAGTACCATTTACAGCGTTATTACGGTAGCATCAGGAAACGGTACAGTAGCATTTTAAAAAAAATATTGTGACGCAGGGGAACACGATAGCATTTTAAAATCACTGTAGCAAAGCGGGATACTGTAGCACTTTAAAAAATTCAAAAAATATTGTAGCATTTAAAACCGGGATTATTGTAGTGGAGAAAAAAAGATATGTCGTGTTTTACACGGTGTTCACACTAGTTACAGTGAAGACGAAGATAGGGGAATGACGCCGTAGTGGCGAAGGGATGATTTTGCCCTCTCCCAATAATTAATTAATTAATTTTTTTAAAAAAAACTGCACCTTATCATCATCTTAATCCAGTCCCTCTCATTTTCCCCAGCCGCCTCCGCTCACCTGCATTCGGGTTAAGTTCCTCTTTTGTTGCGCTTTCTTCTTAATCGACAATTGTTTTCGCCGTTTAGTTGCTTAGTGGTCTTCATAAGACATGAAATAAGCTCACCATTTTATCTGAAAATTCCCTTTCTAGATTTATATATATATACATATCTAATATAACGTTAAGAAAGGCATCGAACTGGAAATAAACCGTGAGACACAAAAATTCCTTTTTTTCTAGATGTCTCATCTACATCAATATACTAAACACATCTTATAGCTGCTCTGGAATGGATTTTATTCAAAATAACAATCTTTTTTGGCGAAATGAAAATTCTAGTAAATCCCCAAAATTTGAAGCTTCATCAATAAAATCACAATTAGTTGCTTACTAGCTGGGGCGGATCCAGAAACTTTGGACGCAAGATTGTAAGCATAGTTGCATGGGACCGGGTTCGTTCTGGTTCAGGGACGAGAACGGAAGCAATATGCTAGGAAATGTGGTACATTTTGGATTTGGGTCTTAAATGTAGGAATTTAAGGATTTACAAGAGTCGAATTTAAGCAATATGCTAGTTGACGTCAGTAATGCTAAAAGAACCTTGAGAATTATGTTGCAATTTGTACGAAACAGAGAGGAAGAAAGAAAATGATGAGATTTCCTTTGAGGGGGCTCCGGCGATAGAATATGGGGTTTTCTGTGTTATATCTTCTCAAGAGAAGACTGGACTGTTTATAGAGGCTACCCATCATCTCCACCCCCTCAATTACTGTCTCTTTGAGAGATTCTCTCAACAACCCACTTACCCACAATTCTCTCAACTGAGAATAGTTGATTTGGTCACACAATACCAAGTCAAAATAGCATTTCTCACTTGACCAAATAAACCAAGTGATATGAATCCCACTATCCGTGAGATCCATATTTCTACTTACCATTACTTCTACTATCCGTAAAGAGTAACTTTTATTTTATTATTCATAAAATTTTACTTGAACTTATTTATTTCTAAGTCCCATCAAACCTACATGTTTAATAAAAGATTTCGATGGTATTCATTTTCTCAAAGTATCAGCAATCATATCTGTAGTAGGAAGATAAGTCACTTTAACTTCTCTCTTTTCTACAATATCTTGAATATAGTGATACTGGATCCTATGTGTTTTCCTTTGGAGCTATTCGCGCCACTATTGATCAAGCTAATCGCTACTTGATTATCACAATAAATGTCAATAGGCCCTTCTAACAAATTGAGATCTAGATCAATCAAAAACCGTCTTATCCAGACATCATGTGTAGTTGCCATAGTGCAAGCTATATATTCGGCTTCTTACGTGTATCTAGTAACACACCCTTGTTTTTTGCTACTCCAAGGAACAACTCCTCCTCCAAAGATGAATAAGTATCCTGAATTGGACTTTTCATCATCTTTATCACCTCCGAAATTAGCATCGGGCTAACCGAGGAGAGATCAAGCGAATCAGCTTGATAAACCAATCTATAAGTCAATATACCTTTGATATACTTCATAATCCTTTTAACAGCTTTCCAATGTGCTGGTCCTAGATTACTTTGATATCGACTGAATAGACTTACAACATAAGCTATATCAGGTCTGGTGCACAACATTGCGTACATCAAGCTTCCAATTGTTTGAACATAAGAAACATCTAATGGCTTTTTCCCTTCTCCAGGGCTTTGCTCTTTACATAATCTCTTTCCCATGACCAATAGAGTTAGCGTCGGATTGGAATTCTCCATTCCAAACCTTTTAGGAACTGATCTTAAATAATTTTCTTGGTTTAAACTTAGCATGCTAGACTTTCGATCTCGAATTATTTGAATTCCAAAAATATATGATGCATCTCCCATGTCTTTCTTATAAAATATTTCACTAAGATCTGCCTTGATTTTATTTAACATTTCCATATAATTTCCAGCGAGCAATATATCATCCAAATATAAGGATAATATAGTAAAATTTCTCTTACTTTTCAAGACATATACACAATTACTTAATTTATTTTGAATAAAACAAAGCTTAGTGACTGTATCATGAAATTTGAGATATCCTTGTCTAGAAGATTATTTTAAACCATATAGAGATTTTATTAATTTGTAAACTTTTTGTTTCTGTTCTTTTATCTGAAAACCTTCAGGTTGTTGCATATATATCGCTTCCTTCGACTCTCCGTTAAGGAATGCAGTTTTAACATCCATTTAGAATAACTCCAAATCAAGATATGTAACAATAGCTAAAATAATTCTAATGGATGCAAATTTATCTACAGGAAAATATGTCTCCTAAAAATCTATTACTGCCTTCTGGTTGTAACCCTTGGCAACTAACCGTGCTTTGAACTTATCAATAGATCCATCAACACGATATTTCTTTTTAAGCATTCATTTGCATCCTATGGCTTTTCTATTTTTTGATAAATCACATAACTCCATACTTTATTCTTCTCTGTAGAATCAGGTTCTTCTCTCATGGATTCTAGCCATAAAGCTGATTCATGCGATTTTATCGCATCAGAGAAGATTAAGGGATATTGTTCTTCCATATTTGTATCTATCGAGAAACAAGATGTCTCACATAAATACAAATGATAATCATCTATCCATGAAGATTGTGTTCTTGGGCTTTTGTTGCCTACAACTGGTTGATGAGGTACATTATTTTCTATAGGTATTTTATCATTGTCAATGTTAGGTTCATTCATAATATTTGGGTCATTAATGGGAACAATAACGTAATAATCATCATTTATTACAGTTAGAGGTTCTATTTCCTCTTGAACTTGTTCTTTTTCCTCTAGATTCTCTAGAAATGTAACATCACTGCTTTCAGTGACCCTTTTTTTTATTGTAGAACTTATATAACATTTTAATTTTTCTGAATACCTTATGAATCTATACTTTATTGTTTTAAAATTCAACTTATCTCTAAGTTGATATGGAATGAGAACATGCGCTATAGTTACCTATTTCCTAAGATGATTCAGATTAGATTTTCTTCCGTTCCATAATTCATAAGGTATAGATACAACTGATTTGGTGAGAATTCTATT